AGGCGAAGCGGGAGGCGGAGGAGGAGAAGCGGGGGAAGCTGGCGCACCTGGCTTTCCGGGACCCAGCCGCCGTGGAGAGGCACCGGGGGCGGCCCCATCCTGCTTCCCTCCCTTCGTCCTTCCTCCTCCCTCCCCCCTCCCTCCCCATGTTCCTTCTCCCCCTTTCTGCTGTTTGTTCTCCCTCTCCCTGCTCCCTCTCTGCTCCCTCCCGCACCATGTCCTCAACCTTCCTCCTCTTCCCCTCCGCTCCCCCCTCCATCCCTCTCTCTCTCTCACCTGAGGAGGATGTGGGCCACCTCCTCCTCCTTCCTCCTCCTCCCCTCCTCCTCCTCCTCTCCTCCTCCTCCTCCTCCTCCTCCTCCTCCTCTTCCTCCTGCATGTCCCTTCCTTTTTATCACGCCTCTTTGTCGCACCCCGAGGCCAGTTGAAAGGGCGGGCCGGGCGTTTCGCCTGAGACGGCTTCGCCATTTGTGATCCTGAATATCGAAAACTCGCAACAGTTCCACACATGGAGGGCGGGTGGTTTTCAACATGTGGCTCTTGCACTGGCGCCGCGCTCATTTGTGTAAGAAAATTGCCAGAGTTTCACACGAGTTGAGGGCAGGTGGTTTTCAAAATGTGGCTCTCGCCTCAGCGCCGCGCACATTCGCTGTAACGTCCGCAAGACCTTCACGGACTGAGGACAGGTAGTTTTCAATATGTGGTTCTTGTCTTATCGCCGCGCACATTCGTGTTCATTAGCATGGCGAAGGACCCAACCAGATGCAGTTGTGAGTGCCGCAGTTGTGGGTACCGTTTTCAATGGAGTTCCCAATGGTCCTCGAAACGCTGTACTGGGTGGGGGACGCATGCGAACTTTGCCACTGGGGCCTTCGGTGGAGCTCCTTTTTGTCCATGAAGCGCTGTACTGGGCGGGCAGGACGCTGGGACCTTCGATGCAGCCCCCTCTGGGCCACGAATCGTTGTATTGGGTGGGGGGGGGATCTCTTGTGGACTTACGCATGCGGGCGGTAGCACTGCGGCCGTCGGTGCAGCTTCCTCTAGGGCTACGAAGCGTTGTGTTGGGTGGGGGCAACGCATGCGGACGCTAGGCGGAGCTCCCTATGGGCCACGAAGCGCTGTACTGGGTGGGGGGGGGGACGCATGCGGGCGGTAGCACTGGGGCGTCGGTGGAGATCCCTACACGGCCACGAAGCGCTGTATTGGGTGGGGGGAACGCATGCGGACGGTGCCACTGGCGCCGTCGATGGAGCTCCCTGTGGGGCCACGATCCGCTGTATTGGGTGAGGGGGGCGCATGCGGGCGCTAGCGCTGGGACCGTCGGTGGAGCGCGCTGTATTGAGTGGGGGGGACGCATGCGGGCGGTAGCATTTGGGCCGTCGGTGGAGTTCCCGTTGGGGCAACGAACCGCTGTTTTGGGCGGGGGGGACGCCTGCGAGCGGTAGCGCTGGGACCTGCTGTGGAGCTCGCTATGGGGCCACGAAGCGCTGTATTTGGTGTGGGGGGGGGGGGGGGGCGTATGCGGGCGGTAGCATTGGGGCCGTCGGTGGAGCTCCCTATGGGGTCACGAAACACTGTAGTGGGCGGGGGGGGGACGCTTGCAGGCGGTAGCACTGGGACTTCCGGTGGATCTCCTTGTGGGGCCATGAAGCGTGTGAATGGTCTGCCGGAATGGTACTCTGATGCGGTGAGCTGAAACAGGGATGGGAGGAGGTACAGGGAGCAGCGGGAGGAAGGAAGAATGCGGGTCGCTGTCTCTTCAAAACGATGGCCCAACCCCACATGATGGTTGGGGAACATTTTCAACGGTTTCGCAGATTGAGGGTTGGTTGTTTTCAAAATGTGGTTCTCGCCTTAGCGCCGCGTACATTCGTGTTAACCATTGCAAAGAGCTGTACGGATTGAGGGCGGCTATTGTTGTTCCAATGTGGCTCTCGCCGTAGCGCCGCGCACATTCGTCTAACACATTCGCTTGGCGAAGGACCCAAACATATGCAGTTGTGAGTGCCGCAGTCGTGGGCGACGTCTTCGGTGGAGCTCCTTATGGGCCACGAAACGCTGTACTGGGCAGGGGGGACACATGCGAACTTTGAAATTGGGACCTTCGGTGGAGTTCCTTATGGGCCACGAAACGCTGTACTTGGTGGGGGACGCATGCGAACTTTGAAATTGGGACCTTCGGTGGAGCTCCCTCTGGGCCACGAAACGCTGTACTGGGTGGGGGAGGGACGCATGCGAACTTTGCCACTGGGCCTTCGGTGGAGCTCCTTATGGGGCACGAAACGCTGTACTGGGTGGGGGAGACGCATGTGGACGCTGCCACTGGGGCCTTCGGTGGAGCTCCCTATGGGGCTACGAAGCGCTGTACTGGGGAGGGGAGACGCATGCGGACGGGCCGCTGGAGCCTTCGGTGGAGCTCCCATATTAGGGCCAAGGAGGCGCATGCGGAAAGTGCAGCTCTCTATAGGACCACGAAGCGTTGTACTGAGCAGGGGAAACGCATGCGGACGGTGCCACTGGTGACGCCATTGGAGCTCACCATGGTGCCTTGAAACGCTGTGCTGAGTGGGGGGGTCGCATGCGGGCGGTTTCACTGGCACCTTCGTTGGAGCTCTGTGCGGGGCCACGAAACGCCGTACTGGGTGGGGGGGACGCACGCGGGCGGTAGCACTGGGGCCGTCGGTGCAGCTCCCCTATAAGGCCACGAAGTGCTGTATTGGGTGGGGGGGGGATGTGGGGGACGCATGCGGGCAGTAGCACTGGGACCTGCTGTGGAGCTCCCTATGAGGTCACGAAGCGCTGTACTGGTTGGGGGGGGGCTTCTGCAGGCGGTAGCGCTGGGATCTTCGGTGGAGCTCCCTACGAGGCCACGAAGCGCTGTATTGGGTGGGGGGGAAGCATGCGGGCGGCAGCACTGGGGCAGTCGGTGGAGCTCCGTATGGGGTCACGAAACGCTGTGCTGGGTGAGGGGACGCATGCGGGCGGTAGCACTGGGGTCGTGGGTGGAGCTCCTTCTGGGCCACGAAGCTCTGTGTATCGGGTGGGGGGACGCATGCGGGCGGTAGTATCGGGGCCTTCGGTGGAGCTCCCTCTGTGGCCACGAAGTGTTGTACTGGGTGGGGGGGGGGCGCAAGCGGGCGGTAGCACTTGGACCTTCGGTGGAGCTCCTCTTGGGGCCACGCAGCGTTGTATTGGGTGGGGGGACGCCTGCGAGCGGTAGCGCTGGGATCTTCGGTGGAGCCCCCTAAGGGGCCACGAAGCGCTGTATTGGGGGGGGACGCATGCGGGCGGTATTACTTGGACCTTCGGTGGAGCTCCTTAAGGGGCCACGAAGCGTGTGAGGGGTGGAGGAGGGAGGACAGCGAGGAGGAAGGAAGACGCGGGGCGTTGTTTTTTTCAGAACGAGGGCCCAACACCACAGGATGGATGGGAACATATGCAGGAGTTTCAATGGTTATCGTAGGTGATGTACCAGAAACGTTTTGGAACGGTTCTGGATCGTCAGGGCGTAACACCTACGTTGATTCGCGGTGTCGACGTCCAAGGAATGGTATTCTTGCGCGATTCAGGTCAACTCGTGGCGTTGAAATACTGAGAGTGGTGTTCTGGCACGCTTCCGAATGTTCTTACGGTTGTCCCCCCAACGGGGCAATTCCATGAGTGGAAATTATTTTTGTATTGGGCCAGTGAAGAGGGAGTTTGGAGGGATGGTGTATTCCGACATCGTTGATGAATCTTGGATTTACACTGGTCCTCCTCCTCCTCCTCCTCCTCCTTTTTCTCCTCTTCCTCCTTCTCCTTCTCCTCCTCCTCCTCCTCCTCCTCCTTCTCCTCCTCCTCCTCCTCCTCCCTGCGTCTCCTTCCGCCCCGCCGTTTCGCGGATCTCTCTGCGGCCCTCGACAGCCCACGCGCACTGCTCACTAGGCACGCGCGAGCCCAACCAGGTCCCCCTCGGGCGGCCTGAGCGCCCTTGCGCTGGTTGGGGGCGGCGGGGAGCGCTCGATGCCCATGTTCCTCGAGTTCCGACAATGTTTTGTTGTTCAATCCCGGCGTTCTCCCTCGATTTCGGCACCCCTGGTCCGTTGTGGGGCCCCCGGGGCATCAAGAGCGGGTCAGGGACGCAAAGTTGCCCCCCGCGGAGGGGTCGGGACTTCTCCGGGGCCGAACATGACAAAGGTCTCACCGTCGGACGGCTGGGTTCCCTCCTCCTCCTCCTCCTCCTCCTCCTCCTCCTCCTCCTCCTCCTCCTCCTCGTTCCTCCTCCTCCGCTTCTGAGTCTGGTGCGTGGCGCCCGCGCTCCGTTTTCGGGAAGGCGGGGTGAGGTGCTTCTGGGCACGGCCTGGGAAGAGGCCCCCCGTGCCATTCCGCCTGTTGTTGAAGCTGGGCCAAGGTCGGGTGTTGCTAGAAGTGCCCCTGGCCCAAGGTGCCCCCCAGCTTTTCGCTCCATTTTGGAGTCCCTGGGGCCCTCTGGGCCTCGTGAGGGGTGCCTTGGAGGCCGTGGGGGCCACCCCGAGAATCCTGGGGGTACCTTGGGCCAGGGGCACTTCTAGCAGCACCCGACGAGGGGGCTCCGGCGAGGGACGCCGCCGCAGTGGCCTCCAGGTGGGGGCCGGCGCGCTCGGCCGTGCGGCCGGGCAGCGGTCTGCGGGCACGTTCGCCCACGCGGCTGGCGCGCTCCTGGCTGTTGCCCTGCGCAGGACCTGCACAGAAGCCCCCTCTCCGGGCCTGGCTGTTGGCCCTGCGCCGAACTGGGGCGGGGCCGCCATGCGAACTTCCCCACTTGCGGGCCTGGCGGCCGCGCCTCCCACCCGCGCCTCCCAGCGCTGCCTCGGCGTCGGGCGGATTTCCGCAGCTGGCGGCGACGACGACGACGACGACGACGACGACGACGACGACGACGACGACGACGACGACGGCGGCGGCAGCGGCGACGGCGGCGGCGACGACGACGTCGTCGAGTCTTTCTTCTGAAGTGCCACCCGTGCCCGCCCCGCCGCACTTCGTGGGCGGGCTGCGCTTGTTCACACTCGCTAGCGCCTCCCTCTCCGTCTCCCCCCTCCTACAGTCGACCATGATAGT